TTATAAATGTCAAATAAATAACAAGGAAGCAATCCCTCAAGAAGTTCAGAAAGAAACCACATCTACTAGGGTCATCAGTAATAGCTTCCAAAGAGAAACAGAACCTGAGTTGGGTCTGATGAATGATCCAATTTCAGTAGGCCAGACTGCACAGCAAGAGACAGTCGAGTCATTCAAGAACAAGAGACAGGCCTACAAATGGTGGCAAGGAAGCCCACTTAATCGGTCCCTGAAGCCTGGGTTCTTCCAACACCCTGGTTAATCCTGATTCCTCCTAGTGCTTCCCAGAGTTGTCATTTCTTCTCCATTCCCGCCACCACAAAGTAATCCAAGCTCTCATCCCTGCCCTCTGCAAAGACATCCAAACTCATCTTGTGCCCAATCTCCTCCCTCTCCAATTCATGGTACACACTCAGCACATCTGTTACTCTACAAGCATGACCCACTCACCCCAATTCAGAGCTGAGAAACTGGCCAATGGCTAGCCACTGCCCACAAAATAAAATTGTTCTCTCACACTCAAGACCATCTATCATCTGCTCTTCATCCACCTAACACTGGACTCACATACAAGTTTCATGCCTGTGCCCATGCTGTTAACTAAAAAGTCTCTTAATTTTTGTTCCTAGGTGGGACACAAATGCTTGTACACATTGCATAATCTAGAGTTTGTATAAATGACACCTCCTACCAGTACCAGGCAGCCTGCAACCTTCCTTGCATTGATGACTTGTATGCATCCTCCCCCACCTTGGAGGCCTTCTTAGAACGGTTTGACTCTCAATCATTTCTCAGCCTTTTGGCTAAAATCAAGTGAAGCTCAACTCTGAAATCAATGGTGCCTCTGATCCTACATTACCACATGGACACCAACTTTTTTTCTTTTTTTTACAACAAAAAGTTACAATATTTGTAACACCAACAGGGCCTTAAATAGATAATTCAAAAGATGCTAGCCATGTCGCTATACCCGACATGGAGTGCCTGGGTTCAACACCCAGCTCTACTCCTGATTCCACTTCTTGCAATGCACACCCTGGGAGGCAGCAGGTGGTAATTCAGGTAGCTGGTCCCTGCCACCCAAATGGGTGACCTGAGTTGAGTTCCTGGCTCCTGGCTTCGTCCTAACCCAACCTTGGCTGTTCAGAGCATTTGGGAAATGAACTAGCAGGTTAGGGATCTCTGTCTCTCTGTTCCTGTATTTCTGCATTTCAAGTAATTTTGTAAAAGATGCTTGCAAATTATGGGATAAGTCAAGAATGGTAGGTTATGGTCAAATTGTTAAAAAAAAAAAAAAACTTGAAGGCCAAGAAATAAGCCTTGGCTTTATTTGACAGATGTCAAACATGATTAAATGACCTAAAATGATGCTTTAGAAAGACCAGTTTTAGCAACCACAAGCAGGCAAGGTTTGAAGACTGCAGGACTTCTGAAAGTTCATGGAAAACGGAATGAAAGTTTAGGGGCCAGTATTTTGCCTAACAGTTAAGACTCTGGTTAAGACACCTGTATCCCATATTAGAGTACCTGGGTTCCATAACAGGCTCCAGCTTCCTGCTAATGCAGACCCTGAGAGGCAACAGTAATGGCTTAAGTGATTGAGTTCACACCATCCACATGGGAGAAAAGTTCCAGGCTATTGTGAGCATTAGGGACGTGAACTAGTGAATGGAAGCTCTACCTGTCTGTCTCTCAAATTTTTGTTGTTGTTACTTGAAAGGCAGAGTTAAGAGGTGAGGAGAGACAGAGAAAGATCTTCCAACTGCTGGTTCACTCCCCAAATGGCCACAATAGCTGGGGATGGACCAGGCCAAAGCCAGGAGCCTAGAGCTTCTTACAGTGTCCCACGTGGGTGCAGAGGCGAGCTTTCCCAGGAGCACTAGCAGCAAGCTGGATCAGAAATGAAGCAGCCAGGTCTCGGACCAGCTGCCCAAACGGGATGCGTGGTCACAGGCGAAGGCTTAAACTGCTACACCACAACACTGCCCCAATGTGAAAAAAAAAATTTACTTTGGTGCAAGAATGGTGAAATACATGCAGTATTTTCTTTTTTCTTTTTTATTTATTTATTTATTTATTTGACAGGCAGAGTGGACAGTGAGAGAGAGAGACAGACAGACAGAAAGGTCTTCCTTTGCCATTGGTTCACCCTCCAATGGCCGCCACAGCCGGAGCGCTGCGGCCAGCGCACCGTGCTGAACCGATGGCAGGAGCCAGGAGCCAGGTGCTTTTCCTGGTCTCCCATGGGGTGCAGGGCCCAAGCACCTGGGCCATCCTCCACTGCACTCCCTGGCCACAGCAGAGAGCTGGCCTGGAAGAGGGGCAACCGGGACAGAATCTGGCGCCCCGACCGGGACTAGAGCCCGGTGTGCCGGCGGCGCTAGGCGGAGGATTAGCCTAGTGAGCCGCGGCACCGGCCACCATGCAGTATTTTCATAACATGACTTTCCATGAACTTTTCAAAGGCCCTTCACATAATTAAGAGTGCCAGTTTCAGAGCCCTCGGGCCAGGGGAGGTGTTCCTTTGTGATGTGCACAACCTCAGACATTCCACCATCCTTCAGTCTTGGGTTTGCGATTACAAACACTGGTTTTCATACACCTACACTCATTGAGGGAAGCTTGAAACTGGGTCACGGGGGCCAGCACTGCAGCACAGCGGGTTAGGCCACCATTGGGACGCCCACATCCCCTATCAAGTGTGTAGTTCGGGTCCCAGCTATTCCACTTCTGTTTCAGCTTTCTGCTAACGCACCTGGGAAGCAGAAGATGACGGCTTAACTACTTGGGTTCTTGACACCCAGAGCAGAGACCCAAATGGGGTTCCTGACTCCTGCCTTTGGCCTGGCCCTGCTCCAGGTGTTGCAGGCCTTCGGGGAGTTAACCAGCAGATGAAAGAGCTCTCCATCTTTTTGCTGCTCTGCCTTTCAAATAAAGACATAAATAAGGGCCAGTGTTGTGACACAGGGTTAAGCTGCCACCTGCAATTCAGACATCCCTTATGAGGTGCGATTCGAGTACCGGCTGTACCACTTCCAATCAGGTTCCTTTCTAATTCGTCTGGGAAAGCAGTAGAAAGATGGACAAATACTTGGATCCCTGAGACCCACATGGAAGACCCCGACGGAGTTCCAGGCTCCCGGCTTCAGCCAGGCCAGCCCTGGCCATATGGCCATTAGGGGAGTGAACCAGTTGGTGAACACTCCCTCTGTCACTCTCTGCCTTTCAAATAAATAAACTTCTAAAAGAAAAATCTTAAAAAAAAAAAAAAACTGGGCCATTAAGCCAAGAAAAACATGCTCTTGCCTGAAATATCTAAGTATCTAGGAAACAGTTCTGACTTGAATAATTATATATACACATAAGATACATATACACAAGTTAAGCGTTATTCTTAACTTCTTTCTTCACTTCTTTTACAGCTTCCTTTTCCATCTCTGTCTCTTCCCTTTTTGGTTTATTTTGCTCTTTCCACAAAATTATTATTCATCTCATTTCTTCCCAAATGCTTCATAATACTGATCTCCAAGCTGCCCTCCCCTTCTCCCAAACCTCTCTCCTTCCTTCTGCAAAAAAATTATTAGTTAGGTATTTTGCTGTTCTTGTTTATGTACTGGTTTGGCCGACTCACCCCATATCTGTACGAGTGACTCAATTCTACTGTGCCTTTAGTTAATACGGCTCAAATCTTCAACCTCAGAACTAGTAAATCATGTCAAGGCCAGTATTTACGGCTCATTTTTCTACGACTCTTAAAAAAAATACCAAGGACTGTTATACATTTAGGTATATAAAGATATTTCTTTGTATTGTTGGAGTACCAAGTAAGTAATGCTTATCTGTAAATTAAAAACAGAACCTAATACACTAAACAAGATGAATTTCCTTTCAAAGCACCTGCCTTGGATTTCACGCCAAGACAGCACATCAGTAATGGACTCTGGAACTAGACAATTTTATTTACTTCTTAGAATGACATAAAGGTCCTTACTTCCCACAGGAAGGGGATTACCTTGTCCTAACCCACTGTAATATCAAGACACAAAGCACCACTGGTGACACGCACAAGCTTATCAGGAGAAGATGATGAGGCACAACCTTGAATTTAAAAAGTGAGTAGGAAAAAAAAAAAGTGAACAGAGACTCTTAAGAGTCTCTCTCGAACAAACGTAAAACAAAATACCAATGTGGTTTTTGTGCCCAAAATGGCTGTCTCCCTTCAAAGTCCAACTTCCGTCTGCTGCTTCTTCCCACCAAATAGGCAAAATAAACTCACTCCTAAAGACGATAAAGTGCTGCCATCGCTGGAAGGTAAGCATGATCTTGGGAAAGAAAACATTTTCCTTTCATCCCAGTAAAGCGCAAAACAAAACCAGAACGCACTGAGTACCCCAACACCGTTTCTGGTGCAGGGCCCTTGTAGATTTTCTCCTCTCCTGAGATAACGGTCCCCCCAGCCCCTACAGAAGACCCTCGGAAAGCCGCAGCGTGCATCCCCGGTGCCGCGCGGCCGGTAGGAGCGCAGCTGACGCCACACTTCGCGGGAAGCGAAGGGCGACTATAACAGCAATTCCGTCCCAGCTCAGGGCGCACAGGACGTGCGGGGCTTTGCGCGCCACAGGCCACTCTTCTCCCTAACCAGCCTTCCCCTCGTCCACCACCACCCGAAATCGGCTATCTGCTCTGAGCTCCAGGAGACGCTGTCCAACACTCGCCCCGAAAGTGGAGTGAAATCTACGGAGCAGGTTGCTCTGCGCCCACCAACAAGCCACCAAGGCCGGGGCCCAGGGATTCCGACCTCGGAGGGCGCGGGCCTCCGGGGTGAGACCAGACCCCGCTCGCGCGCTGGGGAAGCGGGGCGGCAAGGGGAGGGACCGGGCTTGGCTCGGTGGCCCGTGGGCAGACAGCACGGAGACGGGACGGACGCACGCACGGATGGACTGACGGACGGACAGACGCCACGGGACGGACGTGACGGGCAGAGAAGCTGTGCGTCCTACCCGGAGGGCTCCCTCCCAGGGCCGGCGGAGTACCTGCTCCGGTCATCCAGGCTGCGGTTGTCGGCGGCCGCGGCGCGCCAGTCGGGCAGCGTGCTGGCGCACAGCACCACCATGGACACTATCACGAACACCACCGACACGCTGGCCAGGATCTGCGCGGCCAGCGACGACGTGGGCTCCTCGAAGGTCCGCCGCATGCGCTCCAGCCAGCGCCGCGACGGCGCCGAGTCGGCCGCGCCGGGCCGCGCCTCGTCCCGGCCCAGAGCGCCAGGCTCGTCGGCCGAGTAGAAGGTGTAGGTGTCGGACATGCGGTCGTCGAGGCGGCGCTGGCAGCAGTACTCGAGGTGCGCGCCCTCCAGGCCCCAATAGATCATCTCGTTGTAGAAGGAGAGCTCGCACATCCGCGGCGCGAAGCGCAGCTTGCCGTGGCCGCGCACGTAGAGCAGGATGAAGCCGAAGGCCTCCGAGTGCCGGTCGAAGAAGTACTCGTTGCGCTCGCGGTCGTAGTCGTCGCACACCTCGAGCACGTCGCGCTCCGAGCGGCAGCCGTGCAGCCGGCTCACGCGGCGCAGCGGGAAGTCCTTCAACAGCTCCCGGGACAGCGAGTACCGGGCGCCGCCCACGTTCAGCACCACCGAGGCCGCCCCGCTGCGCCCGAAGGTCATGGCTGGGCGCCCGGGGCGCCCCCCGGCCGCCGCGCGGGGCCTGCCTGCCCTTGGCAGAACCGGGGAGCGCGCCGTCGGGGCCCGCGCTCTCTCGGGGCTCGGCTCCTCCTGCCCCTTCGCTGGCCGCGGGCCCCTCAGCTCCAGCGTCCTCGGCAGCCCAGTGCCGCGGCTAGCGACGCGCCCTCCGCGCGGCTGTACCTGCGGGCGGCCGCCGAGTCCCCCTCCGGCGCCAGCGCTGCGCCCCGAGCCGCCGCGAACGAGGCTGTGTCAGCGCCGCCGCCCCTCGCGCCCGGGGGATGCCCCCTCCGGGGCCGGGACGCCCTCTCCTCAGGCGGCGGCGCCAACCTCCCTGAGGGGGGCGCGGGCGCCGAACGTACGCGCCGGTGCGGGGGTCTCCGACGCTCCCTCTCTCCGGCAAGCGCCCCACCGCCGTCCAGAGGCAAGAAGCAAAGTGAGCGGGCTTGGAGGCGGCAAGAAGCCGGCTCGGCGAGGCGGGGGCGGGGCCTCCGTCGCCGGCCTCCTCCTCCCTGCCGGCTCCGCTCGCCTCACCTCCCTCCGCGCGCCGCCCTCCTCTTCCCGCCCGCGCCCGCGCCCGCACCTCCCGAGCTCGCTCGGGCTGGGATTTCCCCGGCGCTCCGCCCTGGACCTCGGGCTCCCCGCCTCGTGACGCCGGCCTCCACGTTCCGCTCCCGCCCGCGGTGGCCGGGAGGGGTCCGCGGGGCGGGGGTGCGAGGAGTGGGGAGTCCCACGGGCCCGGGCTGCCTCTGCTGCGTCCCGCCCCGAGCCATCGGGACGACTGGGGCTGACGACCCCGAGGGAGGGGAAGGTGGGGTGCGGAGGAGAAGACTAGGGTGCGGGGTTTAGACGCCCAGCTCGATTTCCGAGACTGCCCAGGGCGTTTCTCAGAGAAGGCACCCCAGCCGCTGCCTTCCCTGCCCACTTGGCTCTTCCTCCCCGCGCACGGGGCGACCCACGTACCGCGTGCTCCGAAGGCGGCCCCGCGCCCTGGCCCCTGGCCTCGATGCCGCCCTCCCAGCCCCCGCTCTCTGGGGCTCGGGTCCCGAGAAGGCGCCCACGTGCAGCGCACCTGGCCCCTCTGGTAACGCTTCCCGTAGAGTGGGCAGAAAGTCTGGGGAGAACCGCCTTTTCTCAGGCAAAATCAGCCTTTCTTCTTGTCTTCGTCAACACGCGCTTTCCCCTTAATGGCGTGATTTCCCCCGCGTGCAAGCCCCGTGCGGCTGCAACACGGGCTGTCGGGGCGTGGAGAGCGCTCCTCAGGGCGAGCCCCACCGCGCTCGCGTCGACGCCCAGGGGGAGGGTTCCCCTTGGCGGGGATTGAACTGCCACCAGCAAGTCGCACCGACAGCCGCCAGAGGCGAAACAGGTGAGTTACAGAGCAAACTGTGTTCGACGCAAAACAACTACTGGAATTAAAAATGCGAGTGGGGTAGGGTGCGGTGGGGTGGTGGGATGCGGTCGTCTGACCTCCGAGTCGCCCGGCCTTTAGTTGGCCCTCCACTTTTCATAATTTTGTATGACCATCCCATGCCCGCTAGAGGTCACCATACAGAGACATTTGTGCTTTGGTTCTGGTGTGGATTCCTAGCGAAAAGGCAGGCACCTAAAAATTGAAGTGCTGTCGCTCACCGAGTGGAGCCTGGATGGTTTCTAAAGAATGAAAATCTGAGTTGTTTATCCCTAGACTTGGACAATTCATCTTAAAAGCACTTAATGCGATTAAAAGCTCAAAAAAAAACGAGAGTTATTTACTTGCTGAGTAGCTACTAAGGGAGGAAAACATCCTGAAGGAAGTGAATTTCAAGACAGAATGGAAGGAGGAAAAGGTCTTGAGTTGGCAGAGAAAGAGCAAAGCCTTCCAAGATGCGGGCTCTCAGATGTGCGGGATTAAATCTGTAAAGAAAGCTAATTCATCGGCCCAGCCGGAACGGGCAGTCTCAGCTGCGGTAGATTTCATCCTGCAAGCCGTGGGATCCCTGAGGGCTCTGATGCCAGAAATACCAAGGTGAAAGCTTGGTTCCAGCTACATGGGGTAAGGCCTTTGCAGCCACCCAGAAGTCTATAAAGGTGAGGAAGGGTCCCTTCTGAGACAAAACTGACACCCAGCACTGATTGGATCTTGGAAGCAGACTTGTGGTAAGGTGTGAGCAGGGAGAGGAGTTTGCAGGTGTGAGCCAGGCGTGTGGAGCCTGCTTCACACCAGCAGAAGCCAATTCATCCAGAAGTTGTTACAGATCTTTGAGAAGCTTCACTGGCAACAGCAGACAGACAACTATTGTGTTGGTTATTTGCTCAAACGGTACTAAATTTATTTCCTGTGTTCTCTATCCAAAATCTCTTTACAGTCTGTTGATGGAACTGGTTGTAGAAATGTCTCATTTTAATTAAATTTGAGCTTAGAAAACAAATTAATTTGATGACAATGCAATTTCTGCCTGCCGAGTTTATTTTCATAAATTTCTTAGAAAGATGGGTTTAAATCCTCTCATCTGTTTCAAACATAATATTCTTATTTGACTTTAATGTCAACCACTGCTATTGCAGCAGTACCCAAATCATAATCCTAACCAAGGAACACGGAAAGATGCTGAAATGATTGGCTTGCTGCGATGTAATCTGGTTTAAAAAGCAGTCTTAAAAGCAAGCCTATTCCTTTGTACTTTGAAAAAGAAGACTATGTTAAGAATTATTACATCCATATTCCCTTCTGGATTCAAGATGGTATTCAGAATGCATTAAAATTTGTAGATCTCAGGCAGAATTTTAGAGTTTGAAAGAACCTCAGGGTTTTCTATTATCAGTTCATCAGCATCTTAGGGAGGAGCAACAAAGCTCAGAGAAATGGCTGTAACTTGCTCAGGGTTCCCCAGCAGTAGTGGAAGCATGGCAGGGACAAGGCTAGAACAAGGTTTTGTGGGTGCTTTTTTTTTTCTGGTATATTTTGTTGTTTTGTTTTGTTTTTTGAGAGGCAGAGAAAACAAGCTCCTGTCTGCTAATTCAACTCCTCAAATGCCAGAAATTACCAGGTCTGGGCCAGGCTGAAACTGAGAGCCAAGAACTCCATCCAGGTCTTCCCTGTGGGTAGCAGGAACCTAACTACTTGACCCATGACCTGCTGCCTCCAAGGGTGCACATTAGCAGGGAGCTAAAATCTGAGGCTGTGCCTGGGCTTGAACCCAGGTGTTCCAATATGGAATATGGGTCCCAACCAAAGCGTTAACCAATAGGCCTGTCCTGGACCAAGGCTTGCTAGTTCCAAACTCTGTTTGCTCCATCTCCAGTGTCTGGATTGCTGTCACAGTTTTCTATGCCATTTCTCTCTGCTCCAGTTTCTTCCTACCTCTGTATTTCCTTTATAAATGCTACCAGCCAGCTCTTCCATGCGTTTTCATCAAGGTTGAAAAACCTAAAAGGACGATGTAATCTGCAGCATTACAAATTTTCTAAATCAAGCCCAGATTGGCTATTTTTCCTCCCTGAATTTGAATCCTTCTCTGCTGAGTGACCTAAAACAAGTGCCTTAACCTCTTTGAGCCTCAGTCTTCTCATCCAGAGAGAAGATAATGATGCCCACACCTTGGGGGTGATGTGTGGATGGAGTGAGGTGCTGTGTGGATGATGAGCTCAGCTGGACCCTGGAAAACTCTCACCTCCTGCCTGCTTCCAGTAGCCCACACTGGCTGCGCCAAATAAATACAAATTGGAATTATTCATCTGAAAATGGGACTAACTGCAAATAAGTCATCTGAAACATGAAAAATTCAGCGAAAGATTGTGACCTTTATACTGCTATTTTTGGTTGAACTTGAAATCCTCCATTGCTTTGCACTGTGTGACCGATGTAATTGTGGACTCTTCCTCCCAAAGCATCTGAGATTGAAATACCCTGTGGGCACGCCTGTTCCAGGAAGCTCACTGAAGAACTCTCTCTGCTGTGAAAACTCCTTTGTCTGCTGATAATTCGTGTTTCCAAGTGTTTGTGTTTCCACCAGCCTCTGTAGAATCAGTGGATGCTTTAAAATGTCACCTTGGAGGAAGGGGTGGGCAGGTGTTTAGCCAGCAGTTAACATGCCTGTGTCCCTTACCTAGTACCCATGTTTGATGCCTGATTCTGGCTCCTGACTCCAGCTTCCTGCTGGTACACACCCTAGAAGACAGCAGTAATGGCTCAAGTAGTTGGGTTCCTGCCACACGTTGTATATACCTGGATTGAATTCCTGGATCTCAGCTTTGGCCCAGCCCACTCCTAGCCATTGAGGGTATTTGGATGGGGAAACAGCAGATGGGAGCATGCTCTCTTCCTTTCTCTCTCTCCTCTCTCTCTGCCTCTCAAATTTTTTAAGTAAAAAGTCAGCATTTATAATGGAACCATAGCCCTCCAACCTCTCTAACTGTATATAAATAAAAGACTAATGACAGCCTGCTATGCACTATTGCCCCTGTAGAAGATAAAGATGTACCAGGGCCGTGGGGCAGTAGGTTAATCCTCCACCTGTGGCACCGACATCCCATATGGGCACCGGTCTAGTCCTGG